TCCCGATACCGTTCGCTGGCACGCCGGCCCATGAATTTCGCAGGGACACGCGATTATTTTCGTTGGATTTCTCTCGCGGGAGCTTCTTCTGCACCGCCGGGGTGGCGTTTTCGTCCGACCGTGAATTATATCCGACGGTAGACAGGCAAATGAAAGATCGATACTCGAATGTAAACAGCTAAGTGTCAAAATCAACTGATCAGTAAACTTTTTAAAGTAGAGAATGGACGCCAAGAATATCGCTGCGTTAGCGTTGTGGTGAAAAGTATTTCTTCCTGCCGATAGAACGGACGCGTTCTCGCGCTATTTCTTCGTTAATCTCTACACTGACAGAAAAAGGTGGTTGCAGTTACCACAATCTCACTATAATTTAGTAGTCATTTTAGTAGCCAATCACATTTTTATAATTCTCCCAACTACGTAAGTTACCGTTGACCTAACAATGTATTATATTTCTCATAGACACAATGTTGGTCCATGCAACTTACGATATGGTTGTCATAAACCATATCGTAAGTCGTGAATAATAGGTAAAAGCTGATATTTTTCGGGAGATTTCGAAAGAAAGCAGCGGTGTCCGTGGACTTGAACTCGGATCTTTTCGTTCATTTGTTTACTAAGCAGCGCACATTTCTCTGCGCCACACTCGCCACATCTTACGTATCTTACGCATCTTGCGTGATTCGATTAAAGAGATCACGGAAACAGAGAGAGAGAGAGCGAGAAAGAGGGAGAGTGCGTACATGTGTCGCGATCAGTCGTGCACTTTGAACGACGGGCGAGAGAAGAGACTCGCCGCAAAAATGCGAGTCGGACGAGCTGCGACGGAGGGTGTTTACTCCCGTTGTAAAAGCGGCCGTTGCGTATACACGGGCAGCGGAGTGCCACGTTGTGTGCGGGGCAGGATCGATAGCGAATGAAACCCAAAGCGGCCCACGACGACACCGCCATTGGTTTGCTACTCGTAAAACAAGGCGTCGTTCCAGACGGGCGGGACGTTAAGGGCTCGGGGTCACCCCCTCGAGCCCTCCGTAACCCCGTGAGCTGACTCACGCCGAGACGTGCCTTCGTTTTCCCCCCTGACTTTCTGAAAGCACGGCCTGATGCGGCCGATAATCGATACCGGGAATCACTCGGTTTTCTACAAAATTAATAGCTCGCGTTAGAGTTTTTGCGGCGCGCTCTCCGCCCCCCGGAGAAAATTTCGACCACTCGGCGTTCAATCTGATCACATTACACGCGCGGCAGTGATATATTTCGATAATATTATAAATAAGATAGTAAAGTCAACGCTCGGTCAACTATAATCCGCGATTTATATTCGCCACGTCTTTCGCTTCGCGAATATCTCGATGATTAATTTTATTAAAGTTTGCCCTAAAACCGGCTGAAATATACATATAAATGGCACTATTGAAACGATACATCAAACGGCAATGGTACACTGATAGAAAAATATGCAGTATTTGAAACTATAATTGCATAGTAAAAGAATTATAGTCAGGAATATCATTTTTTAATTATTACTATAATATTAGTAATAGCAACTATACAGACACAGTGGTGCCAGCTATTAAAAAAATTTACTATAAAATATCAGCTTCTATTATTCTGTTAAAATATCCAGCTAATGAATAGTAAATTAGTGAATTATTTTACGAGTGCAAAGTGACGTAACCAACAAACATAGTGAACGCAATGTATATATGATAAAAAGCAGGGAATATTATTATACTTACAATATAAATACGATTATTACTATTACATATAGTTATTCGAAATTTTACTTGTGGTTGTTATCGCAATATTTATAGTATATACCTAACCAAATTAAAAGCTCGTTTTGGTTTGTGACAACCATATCGCAAGTTGCATGGACCAACATTGTTGTGTCTATGAGAACTATAATACATTGTTAGGTCAGCCGTAACTTACGTAGTTGGAAGAATTATAAAAATGTGGTTGGCTCCTGAAATAACTGTAAATTATAGTGAAATTGTGGGTAACTGCAACCATTTTTTTCTATCAGTGTAGAACTTACCCCGGTCGCGGTGACTTTAGCCGCGCTCCTTTACAACGAAGCACTCGAAAGACCCTTCCTTCTCAAACCGCTTGCGTCAGACATTTTGATTTCTCCGGCCGGGTGTTTCTCGAAAATCAATTCCGCGCGGCAACGGTCGGGATATCTCGCACTCGATGGGAAAAGAGATTTCCGTGGCGAAATTCTGCGGGCGTTCTGGGCGGATGTTCCGTGCGCGGAGTATCGACGGGGAAGCCGAGGGCGCGCGGATGATGTTACCGAGAGCGAAACGGGGAGGACGGGCGGAATCGACTGCGAGCGATGTCGGGGGAGAAACAAAGGGAGCAAGAAAGTATTGCGGTAAGACCGGGGGTAAGTTGTCGGGGGTCTCGGGAACAGCCTCGACATCGGGGGCAATTACTGGGCCGCTGCAATGAATACCGGCGGTCCCATTGGTGTGTAATAGCGTCGTAATTGCTTTAAGCCATGGCTGTACGGAGGATTCGATAGAATCCACGATCGTCTGAGAATAAACGAACCGAGGGAAAAGTGACTCTTTTAATTGCGCGACATTACCGGACGACACTTGGCCGTAATCGTTACGTTCTTATTAATCCGAGGATATTTTCGTTACGCAGTTCAGAGGAGATTCACTCGATGCAGCTCGCGGCGTAGCAGAACATTTTTTTATTGCCCATTCATATCAACGTGTACTTCTGACGTCTCCATAATGCGAATTCCTCGCTGAAGATGATATATTTCTCAGCGCGACGACCTGACGTAGAGCTCTCTTCCTTACGGTCTATAAGCAGATTGCCTAATCTTCTTTTTTCCTTTCTTTTTCTTTTTTCTCTCTCTCTCTCTCTCTCTCTCGCGCGCGCGCGCATGTCCCTTTTTTCCCTCGTATGCGCGAAGACGATTTCCTTCCGCTTCTCGAGAGGTTCTTGGCTAAACGACCGCGTCCCGATGGTTCTATTCCTCGAAAGCTCGAAAGCTCGAAAGCTCGAAAGCCCGAGAGGGATCAATCGTTCACTCGGTCCGTGCCGAACGCCCTGAGAGCATGGCTAGCTCTTTCGAGACATTTCGATTGTCAAATGACCTCCGCCTCCTTTAGTTCCGGCGAAGAGTGCTACACAAGTACCGTCGTCGACGTTCCGAAGGCAATTTAATTAAAGTAACTTCAGCCAGGCGAGAATACGGGGGTTTTCCTTTCCCTCGCCAACTGTTTCTGTTTATTCAGGATCTCCTATGCGCGCCGATTCGATCTCGCACAAAAGTCAAGCCCCTACCCAGCTGGCTCATCTCGCGAAGTAGAACCGCGTGCGGTCTCTTTGACGCGAATGCGTTTTTGTTCTCCGCCTCCAATTTTCCTTCGTCGACCACTTGAAAAGTCTTTGTGTAAAGCGCGCGCGCGCTCCCGTTATTTCTCTTCACCCGCGAGGAGACTCGACCTGCTGGAATAAATTAATTCCTCCTCGGATATACAGTTGAAAATTGCGGCAGTCGCGGAATGATCCGTCGTCAACGGGAATACACGTGCGGACTGAGTAAAAATATCTCTCAATTTTTTTTTTTCAAACGAAACTTTTACGCCAAACGCGATACGAGGCGCGGAGTAATTCCACGCTCTTTTCATTTCAAACGTCAGACGTTCGTTAATCCCCTATAGGCAGGGCCGTCTCTTAAACAACGGCATTCTCGTGGCGTGACGCGGGAAAAGGCGCCTTTGACGCGCCTGGACGCGCGACGGGACATTAATCAAGCCTTCCCTCGGCTGTTCGTCTTTTCTTTTCCGATCGGGAAAACAGCCGGGAAGTCGCGCGACGCGAGTCCCACGGCGAAGGGGACTCGAGATCGAGTGGGACGCGCGGCGCGTTTCGAAACGTGTGGCGAGCTACCTTGAGGGCGGCCGACGGACAATGAAGGAAGCCATTTCGGGGTCGTAAAATCCTCCGGAGTGTCTCTCCTAAGCCGGCGAACGGTACGTTTGCGTCCGTTCCGCCGGTCGATTTAACTGTTTCAGTATCGACTAATAAAAAATTACCTCGGCGGAAGGACGCGGGCGGGATGCGTTCCATATCGGAGAATAATTTTTAAAGATATCAAATTATTCAATCAAGCGAGCGAGTGATATGACGCGCGCATGAATTCATAAAGCGCTGTATATCTTTCATTAACCCCGCGCCGGGGGATCCTCTTCTCTCTCTCTCTCTCTCTCTCTCTCCCCCTCTCCCTCTCTCTCTCTCGCACGCGCGGGGAAGCTGAGAAAATTATTCCTCTTATCCGGGCTTATTAATCAACTTCCCGACTCGCCTCTCGCTTTTCTCCCTGGGCGAAAATCTCATTTGAGGGCGACGCGTAACGAAGATTCGAACCGACGGATTAATTTCCACTTAATGCGGGAGAGAAAGAGAGCGCGAGGAAAAACGAAAATCCGGAAATAACGCGGTCCGCGCAAGAAGCGTTTGAGGCACGAATCTCCAAGTCAATCGCTATCGGAGTAACAGGATGTTCCAGAAATTTAAATACGCCCTTTCCCCCCTTCTTTTTACCGCGGCGAGAGACAGGAGGAAGAAAGATGCGATCGATCTTATGTTAATCCCGAACGGGGATTTCGCCCGCGAGAGCAATCGTCCTCGGAGGCGCGGCGGGACGGTAATAGACTCGCAAATAACAGCGACATTTTTACGTACCCGCGCGCGGTGTGATTTATTATGTGATTCCGCTTCCACGACATTATATTCTCGTAACTCACATTCGCCCGCTCGCCTTGGAGCACGCTCGGCGCCAACTTGGATGCTAATCTCCGATTAATTGCGGGCGAGTGCCCGCGGCGATCGCGCGAATCGTTTCGTAACGTATAGCTAATATAGCCCGTTAAACCTCGTGACATTTAAAGACGGGCTTACGGGATCCGAAGTAATTATCGCCCTCTCTCTCTCTTATCGCTCTCCTCATGGTCGTCCTCTGTGTGTTTCAGGCCTCCGTAAGGTATATCCCTATTACTTTACCTTCACGACATTCACGAAAGGTCGATGGGTCGGCGAGAAGATCCTGGAGGTCTTCGCGAGGGAATTCCGCGCTCATCCAGCCGAGGAATACGAGAGATGTATTCGCGCCGGCACCCTCACGGTCAACTATCAAAAGGTGGACGTCGATTACAGATTACGGCACAACGATCTCCTGGCCAACGTCGTCCACAGGTACGTGAACGTTCCGCGCCGCGCCGGATGCGCTGTCGTTCCCTCCGCGTCGTGCAATTGATTTTTGCGAGCGTTTGTCACGCGTCGTCGCCGTCGCCCTCGTCCTCGTCGTCCTCGTCCTCGTCGCCGCCGGCACGAAAGCCTGTTCTCGCGACTTCTCGCGGAAAATGTCAAGCGACTATTGTGAGAAAGGCGTCGTCGACTCGTGACTAAAGTTTGATTGAATCGCGAAGAATCGGCGGCATCGAGTGCCGAGCTGGAGAAAACTACACGAGCGTGCACAGAAACGTTCGGTTTCCACTTAGAAGCCTCATTCAATCGCAAACACGTAATCGCGCGCTGCTTAAAAGCGGACGTTGTATCCTTCTCTTCTCCCCACCCCTCCCCTCAACCCCTTTTTTTTTTATTAATGGAGTTTAGTAGATTGCAGATGCATATTTAAAATGGCATTTCATAACAACCAAAGTGCTGTACGTGTTATTCGATAAAAGGCACGTTCCTTTATCCATTTATACAGGGCGCACGACACGTAGCGCCCCGGGGGTTGCTCGGTGGCGCTTTAAATCCACTTTTTTTCTCGGCGGAAGCTTGTTTATCGGTCGACGCGGGAATTTCGGCCGACGTCGGGCGGACTGCGGCGTACATATTTAACGAAGCCTATTGGCCCGGTATAAATCCAGGTTAGCTTCCGCAGGAATTTACTTTGATTTCAGAAGAGCCCCGGGAATTTGGCGAACCTTGTCAGGCGCGCGCAAATGAGATCGGGTTTAATTTCAGGAATTTCCGGGATATCCGCTTAAAGGCTTGGGCTTGGCCCGCGCCTGCGGTATGCAATGTATCATTGTGATCGACAAGTTGTACCGCGCGCTGAGAAGGATCATCCTTATCTCGCGTATGGATTTTTAGTTTGCGCTCTCGTCTGGCGCGTGTATCCGCGGGATGGGAAGGGGGAGGGGGGTGGAGAGGGTAGGGGAGGGAGGGGAGGTATGACGTAACGAGATGCGATCGACAGGCCAGCCGCGGAGTCTGTGTTTGCGCGCGTTACGTTATATTATGCGGGGAGGCTGTCTAATGCGGATCAAATTTAGTTGATTTACACGAGACGGAAACGCATGCGTGGAAAGCGGCTCAGCTAAAGCGGACAACATCGGATTAGTGCCGGGATTACAGCGGTGCTTGAAACAGAAGTCTAAAATGCATAATCCGTGTATAAACGGTTTAATTCGCGCACGCCAGAGCGCATCCGTTATTCGCAATGCGGGAAAGATGCGCGGCAGAGAAGATCTCGGGCTGTCTCGCGAGAAGAGGACCCTTTGGGTGTTGCTTTTTCCCCCCCCCTAAACAAAATAGGACGCGAGAGATCCACGAGGGGGGGGGGGGGGCGGCACGGAACGATGTAACGCGTCGGAAACGATGGCGTGCGGTCGAAAGGCGCGGCGGTGGGTCCAACGAACTCGTAAATCATCCGCCTCTCCTTACTCGGAGCGGCGTAGATAAGAGGAGCCTCGGTGAATCTTCCTCGCGCGAGGCCGAGGAAGCCACATGGCCGGGAACTCGTGTGATTATCCTTGGCACGGATATATAAGAATCTAATATGCTGCGCGCGCGCACGCTCTCGAGCGCGTGCTTTTTAAACGCGCCAACGCTCATCGAGGCTCCCTCGCGCTATCGGCGCCGGTTATCGCGGGAACGTGGATGCGCCGGTAGCAGAGGCTGCTCGAGATAAGGAGCCTCGAGATTCAGCGAGCGCCTCGCGAAGATGAACGCGGTCGTATTTCGAATCGGAGAGAAGAGTGAGGGAAATATGAAATATAATTCTCTCTCTCTTTCTCTCTCTTTCCGTCGTCGCCATATTCGTCGTCGCGAGCGCGGCGGTCCTTGCTGACGCTGACGTACGGAAGCTGGATTAAATTATTTCACGTCTCGCGCGCCGCTAATACGGTCCGCCCGCTTGCATGCTAATTCCAGCAATTATCCCGGCAATTGTACTTTTCAGGCGCGCGCTCGCGCGACACGCGGACCACTCGTGTCCTACATCTCGCCGCGTGTCTCCGCCGCTCATTACAATGGCAAATTCCGGAGTTAATTCGCTGCTCGCGAGAGCGATATTTCTTTTCTTTTTTTTTCCACGCCGATCTTTCACGTCGACGCGACGTGCGAGCCGACGACGTCGCCCCGGGCGAGTTTCCGCGCGTCGATTGAGTTTCCGACGGGCGAGCGAAGTTTAATCGGGCGAAGGCCGGACTGGAGAGGAGAGTAGTCGCGTAGCCGCTTTAGTAATAAACAATTAGGTGCATCGCGCAACCGGAGGAGATCGTGAAAACGGCGCGTTCGGGAGATAAAGCGGGAAGACCCTCGCGCGGAGAGTCCCGGATTCTCTTCGCGCATACGAACAACCGTGCGGCTCCTCGCGATTAATCTCGATCGCTGAGACACGTCTCGTCTTTCCCGCACTCGGGAGAGACTCCGCGATTAAAACAGGGGGATCGCAAGTGTAATCTAGGTCAGTTACTTACGTTATCGGAACAATTACGTTACGCGCGCGTTGCGTAAAGACGGAATACGCGTAACGGGGGAGGCGCAACATCGCCGAACCGACCGCGGATTGTTACGATGGTCGGACAATTGCGGAGATGGATGGAAAATAAATTGGCGGCCTGTAACACCACCTGTGCCGCCGTTGGCTAACGTCAACGGGGATAACTCCCGTGTTGTTATGTCACGTCTCGGTATGCACTCGCGAGCCGTTACGGCGCGTGAGACGTGCGAAAATTTCGCAAAACGCCATTGTGTCGAAAGGAGAGCATTTCTCGAAGAGGCGAGAATGCGCTCGAGGGAACGCTCGCTGTGAATTTTCGCGCGAAAGAAAGCTTGGCGCTACCTACCGCTACTTGTATTGTTCTTGCAAAATATTATAATTGGATCCTTAAGACGGGTACCGTTATATCGCATCGGCACTAGCGCATTGGTATTACGCTGAGAACAGAGGGTTCGCTACCGTAGCTAATCATGATTTGCTACACTGAGAAAAATTTCCATCGGCTAAACCAATGAAAAATATCGTTACCGATGGTTAATTTTTCCGATTAAATTACGTGTATACAGGGTGAGTCTTTCCATATCCGACAAAATTTTTGAGAAGGTAGAACGGATCGAGATGAATGGAAATGTCCTGTACCATTTTGCAATTTTCGTAATAGTTAACGAGTGATTAATTATTAAAAATCGTTGTCTTAGGCCGGCCTACCGCCCAA